GGTTATTCCCTGGTCAATCGCGTTGCCATGTCTGTGTTCCAAATACGGAACAATATCTGCTTATATTTCAATCAATCAATCTCTTTAATAAAGAGTTATTGTACATTATGTTGACATATTTTCATGAACAATCGGCCCTTACAGGTGTCGACGATTTTAGCCCGATCGTCAACAAAACTTCACTTGTCTTCAAAGTGCATTGGAACCGTTTAAGGGACGACGTCAAAAGATCGATGTCGGATAATAAACTTATTTCCTTTAGTTTGGGGGTGGGGGGTTTTGACCTCAAAAAGTTTTCTATCCAATCATGGACAGAAATAACCGAAATAACAAACATCCAAGACGAGAAAATGGTTTGGTTTGGTTCGAGTGTAAATCTGTGCGTCAAATGAGGTGCATTTGTAAAATCTTTTTACACCCACCCGACAACCAACTGCTACGCAATACTATACTGTCCGATTATCAATTTGTATTTAATGGTGAATGTAGTCTGACGCCATGACCAATATTTATCAATTAAGTTTCAGTGGGGGGTGGGGGTGTTTGGAAAAAAATAAAGGAATTAAGTTTTTTATCCGACATCGATCTTTTGACGTCGTCCCTAAGCCACAATATAACTATAAAAAATCGATGTTCGTTGTATTAAACTAACAGAAAAATCATGTGTTTCTTGATCATTTTCATCGCTAAAATCAATAAAAGTCGTTATACTATTTGATAATGTTTGTGCCCTGTCGTGTTTCTGACGTGATTCGTTGACTAAACCAATCAGAAAAGGTCTCGTTGAAATCTCGTTATAATGATGGTCAAGCCATCTCTTATGATATAAAGGCTAGTAGAAGGGATAACCTACAGCCCTAGGATCAAATTTAAGGCGGATGTCAAGATATGAGAAAGAAGAACTTGATTCTGTAGTGTGGATATATCATAGAAGACAAATAAAAATCAAATTCTGTTCAACTATTCACAGGAAATAAGGCTCGACAAGCTCTAAGCTATATTTCGATTTCCCGTTCTCACAATCAACATACATTTAAACATTGTTTGTCATCATAATTCTTAATAATATCATAGTATATTTTTATAATTTTTGTGATGTTATCAATGCCATGTAAATTGTTATTGATTGAATAAAGATTTTATTTTAATTTATTTAATTATTGATGGAAGGATTTTTGATTAAAGTATATCATCAATAGATAACTGAGAGTGAAATTGAATTGTTTCGCGTCCATGTGTCTTATTTTTTATATTAGATTTTTTAACAAAATCTGCTTCATACGTGCAAAGAAATAAATCGGCCAGCATATGAAGCACGTTGGAATGCCAATGTTTTGCATAAATAGATAATCATGAACAATGAAAATCTTTTCAGAAAAACACTTCCAAAATGCTTTCCGATAACCAGCATGGTATTTCCAGACTGGATGATTATATCGATATACTGGTATAAAATATTTTTGATACACGTTTTTGATCAGATTCCAACAAACTGTAACCAGGTTTTTTTTTACCTTTTTTTTTAGCAAGTTACAAAATTTACTGAGAATGCAGAGGCTCGTTGATAGTTCAATCTAATACTATAGCTCAAAATTGCGCACAATGTTTTCAATATTTTTTTTCCGTGACAAGCGAGCCTGTGTGTGTGCATGCGCAGTTTGAAATGGTACAATTTTGAACGCAATAAAATAACGCCAAGAAATCCTGCAAGAAACTAGTAGCACCAAACTGGCTGTCTCTTGAATTGTTTTGCGATAAACACAATTTTATTCGCTAAAATGATTTCATCTATTCGTAAAAAGGGACGAGGTCTGCGCGACGTTGTCTCTATCTAGAACAACGAACTGCGTTTGACTTTGATCTTAGTTTGATATACACTATGGAAACTGCCTGTAATCTACTTGATTAACAGATTAGTGCTTTACTAGATTGACATCTATACGATCTCACGTACGCCGCTACTAAAACGTTATACCCCAAATTTAACCCCGTATAGAATTATCATATGACGATACGAATGACCAACCAAAGCACTTTCAGCTCATTGACGATTTTGGACGAAAACAAAGAAAACAAATACAATGGGCCTATGGCCACCTGAAATAAGAAGGTCAACTCGCGCTGTTTTCTATCTATGCATATGTAAACCCGATCTCACTACGTAATGATATTTTTGTATGGCCACACATATGTGTACACAGGGTTCTATAATCCCGGAGTCTCTATGCGAACGCATAAACTTGTATTTGAGTTATTTGTGTGATCTATGATATTTGACATACAAGTGTGACAGTGTAAATAACAAACAAGGACACTGAACTGTAATGAACCCATTCTGTCACATATCGGGAAGGTCAGTTTAAGGTTATTGGTGCGCAATTGGTAACTGCGCATTACGAAGACGAACAGTGCAGCCAGAGTAAAACGGTTCTGTAGTTCAGGATTTTGACGTTAATCTGTCGGAATGTAAGTAATATACACGATGGCATTTAGAGATGGCGAGGTCTTATACCATATTACATTATTGCAGTATAGTATGTGTGAATACGCTAAGATGTTGGTGTTGTGGCGTACTGTCCCGCAGCGACATGAGAGTAACATTATAAATACAGTTTTAGTGACTGAAAGAGCGCAGCAAAGCCCCCGGAGCGGTCTCTAAGTCTCATTAAAACTTTATATTCACTGTTGTTAAGTATTAATATTCCAAATAATGCAGGTCACCCTCAGCTGAATGCATGTATGTACACCAATCTTTAAGTTGAAAGAGTTTAAGAGCTGTAAGTGATTGAGATGATTTATCACTGATTGCTATAATTTGTTCCGACTGTGTAAACTATTTTAACCTTGGATCTAGGCGTGCAAAACTAGTCAATTGTTAAATATTACCGAGTACCGTGTTCCCATTGACAAATTGTCGACGAAAATACAGAACGAAGGTTTCCAGATAGAGTTAGGCATTGGAAAGTGACATGTAGACATATATTTTTAACTGTAATATGCGAATCTGGAGACGTAGTTCTTGCGAGCAAGTAATAACCAAGGTAGTATCAATAATATCATACTATAGACGTCACATACCTT